TCAAGTGCAGTGCGGCACATCGGGAAGCATAAGCCAACACCAGGCCTTCAGAACTGCCTTGTAAAGCTCATTCTCACTTAACCTTTAGAAAATACTCATGTAATATTTGTTTTGTTGAATAAAGTGAAGTCATGAAGAGATCACTCTTTCGGCCAACTTAATAATGCATCTGTTTGACAAAGATCTTCCCCTCAAATTGGACTGATCTTTTTCATACTAAAGCTTAATTTTCTAGGTCACATTTGCATGAACAATGACAGCCTGGCATGCTGACATAACAGACTCTTTAACAAAAAGCTTTTTACCAGTCAGATAGAACCAAATCTGTGAAGGTGTTCACCAAAAACACCAAGCTGAAAAAGGTTTCTGCTTGTTTCCATTTTCTTTTAATTGCATTTTTTTAAAGATGTTGTCCAGAAGTATTTGGATTTTACTCAATGGTTATTTACATTACCATTGAGCAATATTCAAGTTTTTGCCTTTTGCAGCTTACTTTAGGCCGTTATCTCTTTGCACTGTGAAGCAGTCTGTTCAGTTCAGCTGAACCTGAGTAGAAAGTATAGCCCTGTATACTTTGTAATTCATCCTACTACTTTTACCAGCTGTCACATCAATAAACAACAAAAACCCAGTTCCACTGGCAGCCATACATGTCCATGCCAAACACTGCCTCCACCATGTTTGGCAGATGACCATTGTGATCTACCCATTGTTCTGATACAAGTTCATTACGGTTTCATCTGTCCAAAGACAGTCCACTGAACTGTGCAAAGTATTTTAAATGTCTTCTGGCAAAGTCTAATCTGACCTTTCTGTTCTTGAGTGTCACCAGTGGTTTGCACCTGGTAAGCCCTCTGTATTTATGTTCATAAATCATCTCTTCATTGTAGACTTTGACAATGACATGCCTACCTCCAATACGTGATCAGATATCAGATCGGAAGTGTTATTAGAAAATGAACCAGGAACCAACTAAAGCATGAAGTTGTATAAAATTGAAATGAATGTGTTTATGTATTGTATACATTACTGCAGATAGTCACAGAGGTGAGAGTGAGAGCTGGGGGAGTTGAGAGCTGCTGGTCATAGAACAGTATATGAAATTAACATTGGTTGTCCTTGAGGGCTTCCTGATTCAATCACACAGGCTTGATGACGTCATGCAGAGGTTTAAGCCATATTTCGGATTAGGGAGGGTGAGAGAGAGTGAGAGGGATAGCAATGTGGGGTGGCGGGGAGGCGGACGGGGGGGGGATGAGTCACTACCTCACTGATGACTGTCTCCACTGAGTGGTCAGATAATTCAGGTACAAAAAGAGACACAGGCACAGCACGACCGCCTAATGGCACTCAAATAAAATGACTTATTGGGAACTCGCAAAATACACCTTTTAGGAAGATTAAATAGTATTGATGCCACCCCTCCTCCTCCCCATGAGGCTGGTACAAAACAATGACCAATACTGTTCTTCTGTATTTAATTAATGATCAGGGACTTACACGACGGATGTCTTTGCTGCCATCATATGTTGAGTCAGTATGGGCTCTATTACTGAAACATTCAAGAAAAACAATCTGGTGTAATCCTGATTCATCAAAGAGTACAGTTGATTTAGCTTATACAGTCCCAATCAAAAGTTTAAGAACACTTGAAAAATGGCAAAAAATCTTATTTTTCAGGGTTCGATCTTATAAGGTTCCAAGTAGAGCTTCAAACTGCAACAACAAGAAATGGGAGTGAGACAAAACATTTTTTGAGCATGCAATTTATTAAAAACAAGCTTAAACTGAAAGAGGCTGCTTTATAGCTGATATAATGTTTAGGACCCCAAAAACAAAAACAAAAAACCATAAACCCCCCAAAAACAGAAATCAAAGTCCCAAACACGAACTCAGTAATAAGTAGGTCCACCATTATTGTTGATCACTTCAAAAATCGTTTCACGGCGTGCTTGATGCAAGCGTGCTACCTGACAGAAAATGACAATGAATCCATATTTTTGCACATAATTGGCCTTTAAAAGGCATGTGGTTCTAAACCTTTGATCAACTGTAAAGCAGACTGTTTCAGTTAAAGTGTTGTTTTCAATAAATTGCACGCTCCAAAAATTGTTTTGTCTTACTCCAATTTCTTCTTGTTACATGTTGAAGCTCTACTTGGAACCTTGTTAAGATCCAACCATGCATTTTTTTTAAAAATCGTTTTCAAGTGGCCTTAAACTTTTGATCGGGACTGTATGTTCCATGCTGTAAAAATGACTGAAAAAATATAATCGTATCACTATAATCTGCATCCATATGCAAGGTCAGAAACAAGGACAGATGATGAACCTAGAATTGTCATCATTACAAATTTCTTGATCATCAGAATCATCATTTTCAGTCAGTCAGTTGAGATCCTGCTGAACAGTCCAACAAGCGAGTTTCACGAGTAAAAAAAAAAAAAACATTTGTGAAAAACTTGCTAAGAAAGAGGATAGCAAGATAATACTTTAAAAACTGTTGCAGTCCAAACATCATTACTTTTATGATGATATTGGAGAAATATCTTTTGTTTCTTTATACTCTGTACCTGATGAAACCTTTAAAAGGAACAAATTACAATTTTCAGTTGATCAGTTAATCAATTGAGTATGAAGACTTAAAGTGTTCATAACATACTATAACAGTTCTACATGTGAACATGAGGTTTTGAACTGTGTCCAAGTTAGCTCATTGTACAGCAACACTTTTATTACGTTTAATGTCATTATTATGAATATGAAACTGAAGATCAAGGAAATCGGCTGTCCCACTTTTATAGATTAAATGTTTTTTTTATTTTTTTTTTTATTTCTCCAAATAAAAACAAACAAAATAAATATCCAGTATGATATATGTAAGTCAAGGGCACTGGCACATATATTTTTCTTAAAAAAACAAAACAAAAATAGTAATACATTTTCAAGCAGAAACCAATAAATATAAAAACTGCGTGCAACTAACTGTTGCTACTGTAGTCGACAAACTGTTCTACCAGTTTGATGAAACAGATATTACACTGGTCATCATGATGATAGAGAGCCAACTGGAGAAAACTCAGTTTGTAGCTTTGTTGTCAGGCATTTTTAAATAATTATAAAAAAGGGTTAAAATATAGCTATGCAGTGGTAAGCCTTACAGGACAGACTTTGATTCCAACTGGCTGGAGGTGCTTCTGTGTGGAGTTGGGATGATCTCCCTGAGAATGCACACAGCTCCTCCAACAGTCCAAACACATGCATGTTAAGTTAGACCAGACCTTCCCAAAGTGTGGGGCATTGCAGGGGGGGCGCGGTATGAAAAGGGAAAAAAATAAATAAATAAATAAAAACCAACGCTTGGACACTGCTAGCATGGGGCTCGGGCCAACATTTTTCTTGTAAAACAAAAGGGGGCCTAGCAAAAAAAGTTTGGGAACCACTGAGTTCGACGATGGTTCTAAATTGGTTATAGATATGGTTGAGTACGAATGGTGTTACTCTTTATGTTCTTAGCCCTGTGATGGACTGGTGTCATATTTAGTATGAACCTAACCCTTAGTCACATTATACAGTACTACACAAAAGTGGGAGATA